TTCTCCAGTCTATTCAACATGTCTCGTGGCCTCTCAATCAGGAAACAAATTGAAACCCCAATCATCTCTTAAACCTAAGTATCTACAAAGTCCATGGCCTGGCATTAGTCTTTATCCTCGATCGTCAAATCCCAACTTGACTTCCAAAATCGCTGCCCGATCCCTTCCACCATAGTGTTTAACCTCCCAAGTTTGACGATCGTGTTGTTTTCGTGGATGCTCAAGGCCTGAGACGCCAACTTTGTCAAGGTTGATCAAAGCCCAAATCGAGTTTGATCTCATCCAGGTAAGTTTTGCTCTTTTTTTCCCCCTTAATCTATTTCAATTTATTGCATTTTATTGATTCCTTACCTAGCTTCCATTGTAAGGTCGGTTTTGATGCTCTCTGCATTTATGTTATGTTCTGTTGTTTTAACTACAGTATAATGTTGATTTGTTTAACTCATCTTTTCTTTTGGTACATCTAAACAATGCTCGTGTATCTCCCTTGGTTATCTACTTTTTCCTATTTGGGGAATGCATTTCACTATTTATTGTCTACTATATTTCCAAAATTTTTTGTTTGCTACATATCAATTAAACTATTGGTTTGCCTATTCTGTTATCAAAAGCCTCACTTAAGACGTTACTTTTGTCTTATATTTCCAATGCATTGGAAATTTACATTCACCTGCTGATTTCAAATTCTACCAATTTTATTTTCCCAATTCTTCATCATAATCTATCTAATAAATATTGGTCAAGATATTGTGTTTTCAAAATGATTATTCTTGAGAATAAGCTACGAGTTTTAACAAATTCTTTTGCAGTTGTTTATCTTTTCGAATCTCTTACATCTTTATCATCCTTTCTCACTTGAAATTGGATATGTTAATTCAAATGGTTTAGGTTTGTTTTCATTGAAAAGATTGAAGATGTAATTCTTTGTGCAGAGTTGTTAGCACCAACTGCCCTGGAATTTGAGGAAGCTAGACGAATCAAATAAGAGGAAATGATTTGTGTCTATAATTTATGGGATGATCCTGCTAAATCCAATGAAATTCATATCAAGTTAGTTGGTAGTGCCAAAGTAGTTGAAGCTCTCAAAGACCTAAAATACAAGGTATTTATTTATTTTTATTTTTATTTTTTTTGAGATTAGTTTTAGTTAAACTTTCTTATAACATATGCTAATTTTATTTCATAGAAACGAGCACATGGAGTCTTGACTTGTATTGGGTTTGTAGGCTAGAGTAGCATGACAGAGGTTTGACCTATAGCTTTCAGGGCATAACATCATTTGCTAAGATAATTGAGATTTTAGAAAGGTTCAGTGTTCTCGGGTTCAGTTAGATGATACCCACATGAATAGTTGTATTTGCATACCACCTTTGTTTTAATTTATTAGAATCTAAATATACTTCTAAATGCATATTAGTTGTACCATTATAATATTCAGTTCATAACAAAGTTAGAGATAAAGGAATTCTTCAGTATGATTTAGTTTATTAGTCTTGATTGAGTTTATATGGAAAATTAGGAGCTTTGCTTATTGAATTTGGTTAGTTTATAACAAAATGTTCAAATGCGTCTTTGACATCTCTTTAATTTTGGGTTTTTTCCGGCAATAGCTGGTGGTAAAAGGGTCTATCTAGCTTTTAGCGTTTTTAATGTTACAAAATTACTTCACGCAAAATAGTTAATTGG